TTATTTGTGCTGTAGAAAAATGTCTTTAGCCTGCAAATGCACTCAAAACTTTAAATTAGTTCTCAAAGCTCAGACACTGATCCCACTGTAACGGATGTATGCTACGTAGTCATGTCTGTAGACTGAGTTTGGGAAATATGTTCCAGGTTCTACTACCTCCTGGGTTTGGCTGTATTGGTATGCTGGAAGTCTGCAAATAAAATCATATATGCCTAGTGTGCTTATTTACATGCCAGCATCTGGGAAATTTTCCATTCCATGGCTGAGCTAATTTATTGTTCTGCTTGTATCCAGGCTTCAGAAGCCATCCTTGTATGAACAGTGTGCTCTTCTCCAATGATTCATTTCTAGTTATGGGATTTCAGAAATTAAAATTCTGCTGCTTTCCAGATTTGCTTTGGCTTTCTAAAAAAAAGTATATTTGAACTTACATGTTGTAAGGTTTTAGATTACAAATTATTATAAATTATGCTGCCTACCACAATCAGAAAATGTATATCCATTTGTCAGCTCTTCTTCTGTACCCTCTGTGACTGATGTTATTTATTGAAAGCTTGTATAATATTTGGAGATATTCTTACACATATATTTGTACGATAGAATTTCCTGCTCGCTCTGGACCATATGAAGCAGAGAAAGCAAATACTTGTAGTTAATTCAAACTACCCAAAAGTTATAACTCCCAGTCACATACAATAAGATAAATTTTTGCTGGTATTACTTTGTTGTCCCCTTTGTTCCTAAACTGCTCTTAATCATATAAATCTAATCAGTTTTTTAAACATGGAAGAGCGAGAGGCTGTGACTATTGAAATGTCTGATGTCCTGATTCTCATTGTTTTGGTGGATTTTTTTCTGTCATTATAGATAGAAGACATGAATGGCTGGTATCTGACTGACTTACTGGGTCTCATCAGAGTCACCCCCAAGCAAAAGAGATTTGATGGGCATCAGCAGTTTAGCATCAGCAATGTGGCTGCGCGAAAAGTACTGCCACAGACTTATTATTGGAGTGCACCCAGTTCTTACTTGGGCAACAAAGTAAGTGCAGATGGTACTTGCCTCAACGCTAATTTGGTTTATTGAGAAAAGAATTAAGGCTTTGAAGGGGAGGGGAACTGAGGGAAGACTAAGTTGGATGGCTATTTGACCAGCAAAATTACAAGCTGAAAGGAATCAGGCATATGGAGTATCCTTGTGAAGCAAAACATTAAGTAGAGAAAATTGACTAAGTATCTTTGACCCTGAGCCCTCTTCAGGCTTCTGCTGTAAGGTATTAAAGAAGTCTATATAGTTTGCAGTGTTGTTTTTTGAATGAATTAGCTGGTGTGTGGTTCAGCTTGTCCTGTTCTCTTCCCACCTTGTCCTCAGCTTTGAAAACCAGTTCCTTCATCTGCTTTTCAGAGATGCAAGTTGTGTATCAGATGTTGTGGGGGTGTGTTACAAAACTTCAGTGTTTGGCAAGAAACTTGTGTGTGTGGAGCTCTCTGCCCTAGAACTCAGAAAACACTATTGTGAGCTCTGTGCCAGTTCTAGTGCATGTATTTATCCAAGGCTGCCTGTGTCCATGTGTGCACTTACACATATGTTCATGCCCTGCAGGTTAATACCAAATATTTACTTTCTAAAGTCCTGGATGCTTTAGTGGTCTGACTATCAGGCTTCTCACCATTAGACTTTCTGCTATCATAGACGATACCTTCATGAAAATCTCATTTTTCTCCAGAGAGTAGAACTGACTGAATAAGTCCTCAGTGTGAAGAAAACTAAACAGCTTTCCATTTACTGTAAACCAGATTATGCTAAAACTTACCAGAAATGCTAACACTAATACACTTGACCACGTTTTCTTCTGTAGTCTCTTCAGGCTAGTCAGCCTCTTATTTATTTATTTTCTTCCTGCTGGCTGAAAATCAACATGACAGAAGGTAAGTGAGCATGTTGAAACTAAATAGCATCATTCCAAAGAATTGGGCATCCTGTTCATGGCTATAAATTGTTAAAGATAGTCAGGCTCATTTAGCTGGGCAAGGGAGAGTTTCTTCTATAATCTTCCATGTCTGGTGAACTTACCCTGAAATACGAGCTGATACTTTTCCAGACAGCATTTCATCCTGCTTCTATTCAGTGAGCAAAATAATGGTAAGAATGTGCACAAATTATTTGAACGTGGAAGATATTTTTTCAGCGAAATTTGGAGGTCCTTTGTGGTTACTGTCAGATATCTCTGTATGAATGAAGCAATTTGCCTTAATAACTGAACCATATAAATTTTTGATACTATAGTAATACTGAAAGCACTCACAAATTACCACAGTACATCTTAACTGTCATGTTGCATCACGTAAATTAGAGTCATAATGACATGCTTAGGCCATATGATTTATGCTATGGGAAGGGAAATGGAAATAGAATATTGAGAGTCCTTATTTGTAAACTCAATAAAACATTTCTCTGAATAGCTGAAACTGGATAAAACCTAATAGCTGGAACTAGATAAAAACATCCTTTCTTGAGAGTGATTGCTAGCTGTGTTACAGTAGAATAATTGGTATCTCAGAGCAGGCAAGCTTCTTTAAGAATTTTTGTCTTAGGAAATGTAGAGAATTATTTAGGAAATCTTGTATCAAGATGTACATTATAAACCTTGTGTCACAGAAACTACCTTTCCTTTTTTTATTGTTAACATTATTGCTTTTAAATACTATTCCCCAAAATAAAATTGAGCAAAAAAAGGTAGGAACCATCCTGCATTTCCTAGTTTTCAAATATAGCTCAAAAACCTTATTTAAAATAATTCTTTTAATATAAAGTTGGCATGTTGTGTATATGCCTCCACAATGTTGATTGCCATATGTGTGCTATCTGCTTGTTTTACATCCATCTCCAAATGCTTCTTTTGGATGAAAAAGTGTTATAAATAGGATGTTCCTGAGCGTGCAGCCTTTAGCTTTTTCCTTTTTGTCTAAATCTGGGTGACACTAGGCTATGTGATACTGGTCTTTGACTGTGTCTTTAAGGAGACATTATAAATAACACGAGGCCATAGATGGTATGGGATTCTTGTTTATGTCAGACTGGGACAAGAACATGAGCAAGTTACTTTAACATAACCATATCCTTTTAGTCTTCCAAATATATATGCTGCTACCAAAACTTAAAACTTTGGTGTACAAAAGCAGATAATTTTTTTTTAAAAGCCAGATATTTTACCTAACTATGTAATATGTGTTTGAACTGAAAATTTGAACACTGTTTTTGATGCAGAATACATTTGGGAATAATCTGAAGAAATTTAATTTCTAGAAATAAAATATCTAGTGGACAATTTGGGAGAAGAGATTTAAAATGGCAACTGTTAAGGTTTTAGTAGGTATCATAAAACAGTTTATCTTCTTGCCTGCCTACCTTATCATAGCCTACTGAACTAAGGATTGCAGCAATCATGAGGACTTGTGGTCTGTTAGAGCTTCTAGTTACTGAAAAAGTGTCTTATTCTATCAACTCTAATTACATTTTAGGTATTTGAAAACCCCATTTGGTTTTTGTCAGCAGTTTCTTAATTTGTTTTGACAACGAATCTATAAATTTATTTTAAACTTGTGTCCATGGTAAAATATTTTATAAATTTGTTTGAAATTGTTATGAGTTGCATTCTGATAATGTTTGATCAGAGTACTGAAAGGAAAGTATAAAATTATTTAAAAATTAGATAGCAAACTCAGCAGGATGACATGAAACACTTGTTTCTTTAAAGTCAGTGTGGAAGGGTTAGGTGTCCACAATGTTTAAGTCTGACATTATGTATATACTCTGCCTCTTTTCTGTTGACACACTGGCAAAAAGCGATTTGATAATTTGTTTGCTGAGTAGAAGCCATTTATGATTAGCCAAAAGAAAACATGATATGGAGCATATCTAAATAAACATATGATGTCCCCCATGACACACACACGAGGGGCATCTGAGACCACTTGAGATTCCATGAGGAAACATCTATCTTTAGTTAGAGGAAGTCTCTCTGCTTTATTTTCTCTCTACTGCTGCAAATTTTATGTTCCTTTCTCTGCTAAGGGCCAGCTTTAACCATGAAGGTGGAGATTTACCCTGCTTCTTTCAGATGGTTAGGACCTTGCCCTTGGTCAGCAGTCACAGGTTAGTTCAGCCTTTAGGTGGAGGCTGTCCTAGAATCCAGGTCTGTGAACATTGTTAGTTCTCAACACCCAGCAGTCATACAGAAAATACGTAATGCTTCCGCTCTAACTCCTCTATCGGGGTTTTGAGCAGATATTAATGCTGCCATTATTCAGACTGCAAGCAACTTAATAGAAGGCCTAAAACACCTCTACTCAAAACCACTATTTGCTTACTGGCAGATTTTACTCAAATTAAGAAGTTTCTTGCATCAAGTGTTGTTTTATAGGAGTCATTTGAACTAGTTATACAGCATGATCCCATCCAGTGTAAGTAAAGTTAATGTAATTTGGTCCGTCATGAAGTCAGAGTGTGTTGAAAATTAAAGCAAAAGATGCTTGAATAAAAGGCTTTGTTATCTCTTGGAAAAAATCTAGCACGTGATGTTTGTCAACTCCATAGACTTAAGCAGCCATATGGGGATACACTGTTCTTTCTCTGACCTCTAGTTAAAACCAAGACAACAGCTGAAAGTTTTGTGCAGAGTCAGTGCATACAGAACAGGAAGGGGACTTGTTTGACTAAACACTGTCGCTTCATTTATTTTGCCTGTTCTTTTATAATTAGCTGTGTAACCTATTTGCTTACTTACAGAAGTCAATGTTTCTTTGAGTCCAGCAATGAAGACACTGTAATAAGCCTGTAGTCAATACGTACAAACTTTAAAAATCTATCGGTCTTTAAAAGTACTCTACTGTGGAAAGCTAGAGATTGGGATGGAGTGAGCAGTTTGTTTTGTGACATATTATCTATTGCAGACTGCCCAGAATACCTCAGAGGATTAAATATTGAATTATAAAATAATCATAAGCTAGGTCCTTGTGGCTTTTATGTTTATTTCCTTCCATTTGTTTTCATTTCTTAGGCAATTTCTGATGCAAAAGGCAGAATAATGCAAAGCAAATTGCAGTCTACAGCTCCCAGAGGGGAGGGAGGGAGTTGAAACCCAAAACATAAAGAAGCGTAAATAATACAATAATCAGCTGGAACAGAAATGCCAGGATCAATTGTCCTAAATTATTAAAGTATCTAAACCCAGAAAGCTTCACCTAGTATTGTCATGGTTTCAGATCTCAAGACTTTCTTGTTCGTAGGACATGATAGAGTTAGATAGATCCACAACTCTTTTTCTTGCTTTTACTGCCTGCCTTAAAAAGGAGAACAGTCTGACTTAACACCCTTTTGTATAAATGGATGAGATGCAAATAAATTGTTGTTGAAAGCTACTTTTTTCTACCATCAGTTTATTTTGAAATTCGTTGGCCTCATGAAAAGCAGTGAGTGACCTAGCCTACATAGTGCCAACACTCAATTGTGTCTTAAATTTTAGCCATCAGACTGACTTTTTTGAGCATGTGTCTGTATTGCTTTTATTGTCAGGGAAGCGAAGCGGTGGAACTTAGGTGGGCTCATGTGATCTCCCTTTGTGCACCTTTATAAGATACTTCTTTCTTTCAGCTGGTTAGATGGACAGTTTAAGCCCTCATGTAGAAGATTTGGTTCCCCGATGCGGGTGGATTGTCCAAATCTAAGCAGGCCACCATTTAGTAACATAATGACAGTGCTTGAAATATCTGCTAACTGGGTGAGAGATTTTTCTGCAGGAATGGTAAATCCAGTACTTCATGGCATATTTGCCCTTTTTTGTACTCTCTGCACAGAAATGAGTTTCAGCCCCAGATTTGAATGTGTAACAAAGAACATCTTGAAGCTTCCAAAGAAAACTGGGGGTGGAGTAAGGAATGTGATCCTCAAGTATAAGGCATAACATATCAGAAACAATTTTGTACAGACATTTACTGATGAAATAGTTAAGTTATATGCATGTTATCCATATTTGTAAAAGA